GGCGGGAGGACTCGGCATTCGGGTCCGGCACTTTGTCCCCGGCCCCGCTGTGCGCACCCCTCCTAGCCAAGGGGGCGGGAGCATGCGCTCGGCTGGCGGGAGAGCGGCCGGGGCCGGGCCGTAGCGGCGTGTGGGGACGGGCGGCGGAGCATCGCGGCGTGGGGTCACCCCCAGGAGCGTCTGCCTGGGCTGCAGCGAGGGGAGCTGAAGCAGTTGCAGTTGTGTCGGTGCCGGGCGTTAATGCCGCTTGTCGCTTCGTTGCTGTTCCACTACGCCATTGATGTTAACATCTGATACGTGTTCTTCTCGGGATTTCTTTAAAATTCGTGTTTGAGCTTGTTAATTTGTGCACTGAAATGCTTAATTTTATGTAGCAAGTACCTGAAGGCTGCCCTGTAAGTTCACTGCTGCTAGTTTGTGGGGTGTAAATTTGCCGCCTATGTGAGTAGGAGCTGTTCTACTTTGAATACGCGAAGAAACCCTCTTTAAAAATAAAATGCAGTTGGATTTCTAGTGCAGATCGGATGAGAATGGGGAGATGACTCCAGCACTCAATATATGTGAACACGATGCCTACGTACTGTTGTTGAGAACAAAACCCCCTTTGCTCCTGTTGTAAAGCTATTTACTTTTACCTTTCTTTAGAGTGAGGCAGAAGTGAATCCCAAAGCTTACCCCCTGGCTGATGCACAGCTCACCAAAACGCTATTGGATCTTGTGCAGCAATCCTGCAACTATAAGCAGCTACGCAAGGGAGCCAATGAAGGTGAGACCTGTCTGTTGCAACGTATGCTAGAAATCACAGCAAGGATTTTGTGAAAAGCTGTGGGTCTCCAGCTGTGGACTTCTAACTTTATGTAGATCTGGTTATTGCAGGTGTTTCCTTCTCTTAGCCTGTTTAAGCAATATTCAGGGGCAGAAATAACCTGTAATATTTTCAGCCTTTATATGCAGTTCTGGTAGATGCCCAGACTGTATTCCTGGTGCATGTCCTGTCATCATGTGTATTTTAATGGTGTGGCACTGGGATTATGACATGCCTAGCCAGTCATAAAAAGATTTGGGTTTGAGTGACCTCTGGAGGTCTCTAGTGCAGACTGCTCAGAGAGTGGCTCCCTTCACAGTTGGATCAGGTTGCCTGGGGCTTTGCCTTATCAAACTTGTAAAAAAAACCCAATTCATTAGGATAGAAACTCCATAATCTCTCAGGACCCATGTCCCTCTCATAAAGGGGGAGGGGGCATCTGTGGAATATAAAATTGCAGCATGTCCCCAGAATCTCCTTGAGGCAACAGTCACAGTCTGCAACTTGTCCTTTTTCCTGTGCACTCACGAGGACAGTATGGCTCTGTTTTCTTTGCATTCCCCTTGAAGCAGTAGAAGACAGCAGCTGCATCCCCCCTCACTCTCCTCTTCAGCCCTCTCTTCTCTAGGCCAAACAAAACCAGTCTCCCCTCATCCATGGTGTGCCTGCCCCAGCCCCGTACCCGCTAGCAGCCCTGGACAGGCCTTGCTCCCTTGTGTCCCCCTCTGCTGTGCTCAAGGGCAATGCTGGGCACAGTATCCCAGCTGCAACTCTGTGAATAAACCCCTCCCTGGCCCTATAGCTGCCATTTTCCATGGGCCTGTCCTCGTGCCACCACTAGATCTCCCTTCTTGTTCATGCCAATTTTAACATCTCCTAAAGTTGTCATTCACTAGAAAGACCTAGACTTACTCCTGAGTTTATTTTACAGCCACCAAAACACTGAACCGAGGGATAGCAGAGTTCATTGTGATGGCAGCAGATGCGGAGCCCTTGGAGATCATCCTGCACCTCCCTCTTCTCTGCGAAGACAAGAATGTACCGTATGTGTTTGTGCGCTCCAAGCAAGCCCTGGGCCGGGCTTGTGGTGTTTCCCGGCCTGTCATCGCCTGCTCCATCACCATCAAGGAGGGATCACAGCTAAAGCCTCAGATCCAGTCTGTCCAGCAAGCTATAGAAAGACTGTTGGTCTAAATGCCCATGAGTTTCAGTGTGTGTGGAATAGGAAAGTTGAAGTCGGGAGAGTTAATATCTAGTTTCAGTTGAGATTATAGTTTTTATATCAGTGTTTCATTTCAAAACGCCACATTTTTGTTTAATAATGGCTTAATTCTTGGTGTTTCTGCCTCTCCTCCTCCTTCTTTTCTATTATTCCACTCCCAACACATTCATTCTCACTGTATTACTTCTTGAAATGTGATTGTACAACTGTATTTCTTGTTTGAGGCTTAAAAGAAAGAAAAAAACATCCCCCCCTTATTTCCATATTTGCCTGCTCAGGCTTTTTTTAACCCACTCAGGAGCTTCCTCTGCATTGTAGTACTTCTGCTGAGCTTCAGCCTCTAACAGGTGTTTATGAATGGTTTAGTCTACTGACAACAAGGCGTGTCATTTCTCCACACAGTGTGTGCATGCTGATTGCTGGAGTTACTGCTTTAAGTGATGAAGCAGCGTAGACCATGCATAAGGCAGGCAACAGCCACTGTGTGGAAGTGAAGATCAGTACATACAGCACAACGCTTTCCTTGAAACCAAACAAGACTAAGAGGTGTACAGGGAGCACAAATCTTACGGTAGTGCACAAGGGGAAATCTCTTATCTCTCTTACTTTTAAATACTGACTTTGTAAGAAAAATAAAATTGCTGACAAAGCTAAACATAATTGTCATTCCCTTGGGGAAGCATTTGCAACTAACAGAAGTGTTCCTACTTGCAAAGCTAAACTGCTCAGAGATTGCCTAAAGGCTATGGCAGTGTAGTAAGCAGTTCATACTCCTGTGTTCTTTGTGTGGACTATTAATGAGCTTGGGCTTCCTGTGGTATTTAAGTCCAAAACAGGGTAGAGAACAGCCTGCTGTGGCTGACAAGTACCCTACATATCTCATGCTTTTAGGGAAGCTGCTGTACTGTAGTCATCTGATTGAAGATGAACTCTACGTCATAGCCAAGACAACAGAGAGCAAGTAATTTTTTCATATAAATCAACCTGTGTCTCAAGAAGAGAATGCTAGATGATCTCATGTTCTGGAAAAGTGTGATGCACCACCAGCATTCTGGATTAGTGATGGTTTTGTGGAGCTAGCTTTAGTTAAATGCATATTCTTTAACAACTCCACTTACTGCTCTGAGCAGAAGAGTCTAAACCACTGTATTGGAATGAGGCATGTCAAACCTGTCTTATGTTGCAGGATGCCAAAGCAAAGCTACTGTGGAAAGACCAACAGGTACAATACCAGAAGGGAAAATAAGTTCTGTAATGTTTTCACATAGGCACTAACTTCATACATTTATTAAGTACATCCCAAGCAGATGAAATCAGTTCATGAAAGACTGAAGACAAATTACATCTGTATATTTTTGTAAATGGCTGATAACAGTAGTATCCTTGCTGAGGTGAACTTAATACAAAAACTTGAGTCATTTGCATGAGGTTTAGAAAGGCTGCTGTTCCCTTCTAATGATGCTGACTGTTGAGCTAGTTGTGTTTAAAACCACAACTTTGTAAAAGATTTGCCCTGTTCCATGCCAAGACAGCTAATGTAAGACAAAGCACATAAGGAGCAGAAATAAAGGATTCTTGAGCAAGCAAAACTGTCTAATTTTCTGCTCTGAAGCCTTCCATCACCATTTTAAACTTCTGCCTGACATGATAGCCTGTTATAAAAACAAAGCCAGGAGGAAGATCTAATAACCTAAACCAAACATGCCACGATTATCGAAAGTCTGGAGTATGTTGTGCCTAGGGGTTTGCAAGCCAAACAAAAAGCTAACAAAGTCAAAGGGAAGGGGTGTGAAAGAGCCAATCGAATCTGGCAAATCGATAGTTACAGGACTGATACCACAGCCGGGGGTTTGGTTACTTGGGCCTTGCTTGGAGAAACCTGGTCTACCTGGGGCTGATGCGGTTCATCTGTCAGAGAAAGGGAAAAGCGTCTTCAGGCACAGGCTTGCCAGGCTGGTGGAGAGGGCCTTAAACTAGAGCTGCCAGGGAGGGGAGGCTCAATCTACCCCACTCCTACCAGCTTGATGCCAGTGCCAGCAATAGGTGTCCAAAGCCTGGAAGGGATCACAGGTCAGCAGGAGAGCACCTGAAGAGCAGTGCAAAAGAATTCCAGCCAGTATCAGCTTCATCCCAGCCCAACTTACACAAACAAACATAGCATGGAGAATAAACAAAAGGAGTTAAGAGACGTGCACTCCAGCAGGGCTAAAATCTTAGCATCACAGAGATGTGGTGGGATGGCTCCTATGACTGAAGCGTTGGAATGGAAGGATACAGGCTCTTCAGGAAGAATAAGCAGGGGAGACAAGGAGGGGGTGTCACCCTCTATGTCAGTGACCAGCTGGAATGCATGGAGCTCTGCCTGGGGATGGACAAGGAGCCGACCAAGAGTTTATGGGTCAGGATTAAAGGGAGGGTAGGGACAGGTGACATTATATAGGGGGTCCTCCACAGGCCACCTTACCAGGAAGACAGAGTGGATGAGGCACTCTATAGATACATAGGAGCAGCCTCATGTTCACTAGCCCAAATCCTCATGGGGAACTTCAACCACCCCAATATCTGTTGGAGGGACAACACAGCAGGGCATAAGCAATCCAGGAAGTTCCTGGAATGTGTTATTGATAACTTCCTTCAAGTGATAGAGGACCCAATAAGGAGAGATGCTATGCTGGACCTTGTTCTCACCAACAAGGAAGGGCTGATGGGGTGTATGAAGCTCAAGGGCAGCCTTAGCTGCAATAACCATGAAATGGCAGAGTTCAAGATCCTTGGGGCAGCAAGGAAGGTGCACAGCAAACTTGCCACCCTGGACTTTAGGAAAGCAGACTGGCTTCTTCAGGGATCTGCTTGGTGAAGTACCTGGAGGGAAGAGGGGCCCAATAAAGTTGGTTAATAGACAAGGATCACCTTGTCCAAGCTCAGGAGTGATGCATTCTGACAAGAAGTCAGGCAGAAATGCCAGGAGGCCTGCATGGATGAACAGCATCCTGGACAAGCTCAAACACAAAAAGGAACCCTGCAGAGGGTGGAAGCAAGGACAAGCAGCCTGGGAGGAATACAAAAAAATTGTCTGAGCAGCCAGGGATCAGGTTAGGAAGGCCAAAGCCCTGGTAGAATTAAAACTGGCCAGGGGTGTCATGGGCAAGAAGAAAAGCCGCTATAGGTATGTTGGTGATAAAAGGAAGATTAGGGAAAATGTGGGCCCTCTCCAGAGGAAACAGACCTGGTTACCTGGGACATGGAGAAGGCTGAGGTACTCAACTTTCTTTGCCTCAGTCTTCATGGGCTCAAGCCACACTGCCCAAGTTGCAGAAGGCAAAGGTAGGAACTGGGAGAATGAAGAACCACCACCCACTGTAGGAGATCAGGTCTGAGACCATCTGAGGAAACTGAAGGTGCACAAGTCTATGGGACCCGATGAGATGCATCTGTGGGTTCTGAGGGAACGGGAGGATGAAGTGGCTAAGCCACTACCCATCGTATTTGAGAAGTTGTGTCAGCCCAGTGAAGTTCCCGCTGACTGGAAAAGGGGAAACAACCCCCATTTTTAAAAAGGAAAAAAATGATGATGCAGGGAACTACAGGCCAAGCAGTCACATCTCTGTGCCCAAGACCATGGAGTGGATCCTCCTGGAACTATGCTAGGGCACCTGGAAAATAAGGAGGTGATTGGTGACAGCCAGCATGGCTTCACTAAGGGCAAATCATGCCTGACAGATTTGGTGGCCTTGTACAACAGGGTTACAGTGCTGGTAGATAAGGGAAGAGCAACTGACATCACCTACCTAGACTTGTGCAAAGCATGTGACACTGTCCCACACAACATCTTTGTCTCTAAATTGGAGAGACATGGATTTGATGGACAGACCACTCGGCGGGTAAGGAATTGGCTGGATGGTCGCACTCAGAGTTGCAGGCAATGGCTCAGTGTCCAATGGGAAAGCACTGACAAGTGGCATTTCTCAGGAGTCGGTGTTGGGACCAGCACTGTTTAACATCTTTGTTGGTGACACGGACAGTGGCATTGAGTCCACCCTCAGCAAGTTGGCTGACACCACCAAGCTGTGTGGTGTGGTCGACACACCAGCAGGAAGGGATGTGCCACCCAGAGGGACCTGGACAGGCTGGAGAGGTGGGCCTGTGCAAACCTCATAAAGTTCAACAAGGCCAAGTGCAAGGTCCTGCACATGGGTTGGGGCAATCCTCAGTATCGATACTAGCTGGGGGATGAGTTGATTGAGAGCAGCTCTGAGGAGGACTTGAGGGTGTTGGTTGATGAGAAGCTCAACATGCCCCAGCACTGTGCGCTCGCAGCCAAGAAAGCCAACCGCATCCTGGGCTGCATCAAGAGCAGTGTGCCTAGCAGGTCAAGGGAGGCGATTCTTCCCCCCTACTCTGCTCTCATGAGACCTCACCTGGTGTACTGTGTCCAGCTCTGGTGCGCCAACATAAGGACATGAAATCTGTCAGAACAAGTCCAGAGAAGGGCCACAAAGATGATTGGGGGTCTGGAGCACCTCTCCTCAAAACAGGCTGAGAGAGCTGGGGTTGTTCAGCCTGGAAGAGGCAGCTCCTGGGAGACCTTACAGCAGCCTTTCAAAAGGGGGCCTACAAGAAGTCTGGGGAGTTTTTACAAGGGCATGTAGCGATTGAACAAGGGATAATGGCTTTAAACTGAAAAAGGGTAGATTTAGGTTAGATATAAGGAAGAAGTTTTTCACTGTGAGGGCAGTGAGACACTGGAACAGGTTGAGGATGCTCTTGGCCTGGTTCAACTGGGGCTTTGAGCAACCTGGTCTAGTGGAAGGTGTCCCTGCCCATGGCAGGAGAGTTGGATCTAGATGATCTTTAAGGTCCCTTCCAACCCAAACCATTCATTCGGGGAATAAAAATTCACAGAATTAAAGACAGTACAGTCTCACTATTTTATTGTGTTCAATTCAAGACTTGCTTAGACAAGCATTTACAGTAATTTCTTCACTAAAGGGGAAAATATATTGATTGCTTAGACAAATCTTTACTAAAAATTACTATAATGCAAGCTGATTGCAAGTATAATAGACTACGTAGCTTCAGTACTGCAGAGCTCAACGTGGGCTAGCTGTTCTTTCGAGAGGAGCTGCCGCGGTGGAAGTGAGCGGCATGCTGGCACAGCTAGGGTGGTCACAGTGCCAAGACAGTGGTCACAGCTGGCTCTGATACGTGTGACACACTACAGCACTGGCACTACCTTACTATACGACTTAATTCTTCAATGAGTTGCCTAATAGATTTTGTGCCAAACACAGGAATCCCTGAACACTAAAAACACTATGCAGACCAAAATGGATACCTCATGTATGCCATGTCTGTACTCAGTAGAAAGTTACAGTTAGCTAAACAATTAGTACTGTTTCCTAGAGCAAGGGCAATGACAATTTATTGGTTTTGGCCACCTTGCCAAAGGTGGGGCATGCCAGTAGTGGAAGTTTAAAACCCAAAAGAGCCCCAGATGCAGCCTCCATAACTATGTTTAAAAAAATAAAAATACTGAACATAACAGTCTACTCTTCACAACTTGCTGTTTTTCTATTTTTAAAGCACAGAAGCCTGCACAATAGCCTGACCTGTACTCTCTACAGAGGTGGAACATCTCAGTAATTTAACTGGAGTAAATACTTGCAGCCTTTCAGGGAACATGACTTTTTCCTTTTTTCCCCTTTTTTAAATTATCTTTTGCTATTACCATTTAAAAAGGGAAGACCTGGCTGTGCAGCTGTGTGAAGCACTGGCTTTTTGCCCAAAGGATTGGCTACTGCTTCCCAGTAATGATTTTCTCCTTTATGATCTGTTGTTAATCTTTATAACACCGATGGTGGAAAAGAACCCAATTTGATTACAAGTACCGATACTGACTGGCTGTTGGGGGAGTAGGAGAGTAATACACCACATTTATACCCTCTGATAGCACGCAGACTTGACCTGCTGCTTGAATTCATGTGGTGCCATTAACACATTCTGTTTTCTTATTCACGTGGAAGTGAGTTTCACAGTATGACACAAAGATGGTATAGCCAGTGTTGCAAAGTAAGAAATCCAAAATCACTTTTATTAAGAAACCAGGAAGGCACAACTGTGTTCACTTGCAGTGGATGACCTGAGTTAGCAGGGAATTTAATTCTGCCTTTGGCTACTGTGAACAGAATCCAACTTTGCAGAGATGTTTCACAACTAAGAGTAAAAGGTTTCTCCACTGCTATATTCAGCAACATTTAGTTGCCTTCTCCTCCAAAGCAAGCTTAAACAGACACAGTATCCACATAAGACAACCAAAATTTTAAGCAGATGGAAGTCAACTAGAGCCTTCCACTCCTGCTTAGTGCTCATTAAAGTATTCAGTTAATGCATCCAAGAGCTCTTGCTTCTTCCCCCCTCCCTTCAGCCCATAAAACCTGCATGCATCCTTCAGAACAGGTACAGTGAGCTTGCCTAGAGTGCCCTTCTGCACATGACTCCGCAGCTCATCTTTTGAGACTTCTATCTTAGGCCTCTTCTCAGTTTGACTATCAGAAGCTAGAAAGATAAATTTTAGATTACCAAGATTTTTAAAAGTTT